CTCCATCGATGCCGAGAAGGCGTTCGATCGGGTTGACTGGAATTTCCTCAAGTCTACGCTCCAACATCTGGGACTGGGGACACGTATGCGGTCATGGATTATGGCCCTTTACTCATCCCCAACGGCAGCTGTGAGAGTTAATGAAACTCAAATCAGAATATTTTTCCATCTCCAATTGCACCGCCAGGGATGCCCCCTGTCCCCGCTCATTTTTATCCTCACGCTGGAAACCCTATTATGCACCATTAGGGCAGATGATTCCGTCGGGGGCCTTCAGGTTCCCTCGGGGACTCACAAATTGGCAGCCTACGCAGATGATCTGTTTCTCTTTATATCCCGTCCAAGGTCCTGATCCCCGCCCCTATGAAAGGATTTGACAACTATGGAAAGCTCTCTAATTTTTTGGTTAATCAGGCCAAGTCGGAAGCTCTTAACATCTCCTTACCCCCGATAGAGCTAGACCATGCGAGGTCCTCCTGCCAGTTCCGTTGATCACAGAAGAGTCTCAACCACCTGGGAGTACGTGTTACAGCGGACCCGGACGACTTATATGATGAAAATTATGCCCCTTTACTACAAGCAATCAAACGTGACCTCTCGAACTGGCAGGACCTGACCCTGACTTGGTTTGGTCGATGCGCCTCCCTAAAGATGACTATTCTCCCCAGGATTCTATACATTCTCCAGGCGATCCCGATCCATTTACCTCCCACTTTCTTCTCCCAACTGAAACGTCTGTTTATATCCTATGTCTGGGCTAATCGGCGTCCAAGGTTAGCATATAGACTCCTGGTACTACCTAAGGACCGGGGTGGAGTGGGCCTGCCAGACATTAAACTTTATTACAAGGCTTCCCACCTTGTCAGGGTACTGGACTGGTGCTGCCATACAGATCAGAAAAGATGGATGGAACTTTCAGAATCCAGATTGCCGATCTCGGGGGCAGCATGGCTTACTTCCCCTCTGCCGCCAGAGATCTCCTCTCATCCCCTCATTGCGCCTAGGCTGAGGGTGGCTAGGACGTCTCTTGATGCTTCGGGAATTTCCCCCCACCCATCGCCCATGATACCGGTAATTGGGGACCCCGACTTCCCCCCAGGCCTAGAGAGTGGTCGCGTCCGCAGACTACTGAAGGTAGGTAAGTTCCGTCTCCATGACTTTATATTGGACGGGACGTGGATGTCGCTCGACTCCATACGACACTTGACCTGCCCGGGGCTGGATGTATGGAGTGCGCGGCAGATCCGCCATTTTCTGATCTCTGTGCCGGGGCTGAGTCAGTTGACGTGGCGCCTCACGGATTTTGAGTCCATTTGTCATCAAGGGGCCCCAGTTCGCCATGCCCTCTCTTGGCTGTATAGACAACTCAGCTCTCCACCACAGTCGTATTGCCCTCCGTTTCTTGAGAAATGGGAATCCGAGTTGGGAAGATCCTTCACGGAGCTTCAAAGGGGTACAATACTGTCGTTGGCCCATAGATCCTCCATAGCAGGCAAATTCCAGGAACAGGGATACAAGATTGTTTCACGCTGGTATAGAGTCCCGTATATCCTAAACAAAATGAACAGCTCGATCCCCTCAACCTGTTGGAGATGTGAACAGGCTCAAGGTACCATACTACACATTCTGGCAATGCTCTGGCCTTCGTTCATTTTGGACGGGGGTGAGGGAGACGATCAACCGGCTGGTGATCGAGGCCCTACCAGATGACCCGGCGGTATCAGGGGCGCAGATAAGGGGGGGATAGGGGGGGTTCAAACCCCCCCAGAGTGTCTTAGCAGTGGCTAGCGAGGGGAGGGCAGAGGGGGTCACGTATTCCCGGCCGTTTAACAGCGTTCTGAAGAACCCATCTAAAGGGACTCCGGGCATGTCCTGTTTAATGTTTTATCAAACAGGACATCCCCGCATCCCTTCAGATGTGCCTGTTCCTGCATGATATGTACATATCGGGCCCTACAGGAGACAGGGTGTCCTTCCAGTGATCAGGGCAATCAGGTATGGAGGCGGGGGGATGGCGGGGACAAGTTAAAGGGGTTCTAAATCCTCCGGTTTTTCTGCTTATATCAACTGCTAGCAAGCAGTAGATATAGGCAAGAAGTGTAAAAAAAAAACAAAAAACGCTTGAAATCATTTTAAACTTACCTCGTTATCGCTGCTCGCTCCCACGCCGAGAATCAGGAACTGCTTGTACGGCCGCAAAGGATCTTGGGGCGGGCGCATGTGCAGTTCCGATTCTCGGCCGGGAGACGAGCAGAGACGCAAGGTA